CCTGACGGAGCCAAAACTTCCTGGGATTGAGGGTTCCACAGCTGTGGAGGTGAAGGGGCAGACTAAGTGGCCCTTTTCCTCTTGGACATCCAACAGTGCCGTCAGTTTCTTTCTTCAAACAATTATAATTAAGCTGGAATGCCTGGTGAGAATTGAGGTTCTCCAGCTGGGCATCCTTTCTGAGAAGGAAGGATTCACTGGAGAAGAGCCTAATGCTGGGAAAGATGGAGGGCAAGAGAAGAAGGGGACGACAGAGAATGAGATGGCTGGATGGAGTCCCTGAAGCAGTAGGTGTGAATTTAAATGGACTCCAGAAGATGGTAGAGGACAGGAAGACCTGGAGGAACGTTGTCCATGGGGTCGTGATGGGTCGGACACGACTTCGCAATTAACAACAACAACAGCTGGGCAATCCATGGGCTTTGTGAAAGCACAGAATGCAAAAGAGAGAGAAAGGATAGAAAAGAGGAAAAGGAGAGGTGAGAAGGATGTCATTTGCCAGTTCAGGAAACGAACCTCTATACTGTGCATTTGTGTGTGCAGATGTGTGAGTGATTCTCTACATGCGAGAACTGAAAGGTGAGCAGCTAAGAATATATTTTAACACCCCCAATCTGTTGATGACCTGCAGACATGTTGGATTTAGGTCCAGACAATCCCCCAATTAGATTGGAGTTATTGGCCTTGAAATCAAAAGCATTGGGAGGTAGCACAGCATTTTATGAAACCCGAACGCTGGATGGGTGTGAAGCTTCATTAATGATCAGCAGAGGCCATCTGAATAACTTCTTGTGGCTTTTTTCCCAGTGAAGAAAATAATCCAGAATTAACAGAAATATCCCCATGTTCAGCAACCACTCAGAATCCAGGCCCCCAATTTTCCTCCTGACAGGCTTTCCTGGCCTAGAGAAACACCATTTCTGGATTTCCCTCCCCATCTGCTCCATGTACTTGGTGGCCCTCACAGGGAACTGCACCATCCTCTTCGTCATCAACTCTCCACTCCCCCATGTACTATTTCCTGTCCATGCTGGCCCTCTCGGACCTGGGCTTGTCCTTCGCCACTTTGCCCATCATGTTGAGTGTCCTGTGTTCAACCACCGTCAGATCTACTTTGATGCCTGCTTGGTCCAGATGTTCTTCATCTACGCTTGCTCCATTATGGAATCTGGCATTCTGTTGGCCATGGCCTTTGATCGCTTGATGGCCATCCAGAACCCTCTGAGGTACATCAGTGTCTTGACCAACGGGACGGTCATCAAGATTGGGGTGGTGCCCTCCGGTCCATCTGCCTTGTCCTGTCAGGACCCATCCTTATGAGTCTTCAGGAATTTGGGAGGAAGAATGTGCTTTCCTACTCTATGTGTTTGCACCCAGATCTCCTGAAGTTGGTTCATTCAGATAGGAGAAACAGCAGCGTCTACGGCTTGATCGTTATGCTCTCCTCCACAGGGGTGGATTCACTCCTGCTGGTCCTCTCCTACGTCTTGATCCTCAGGACCTTCCTGGGAGTGGCCTCCAAGGAGGAACGCTCCCGGGTGCTCAGCACCTGCATCTCCCACCTTTGTGCAGTCCTCAGCTTCTCCATCCCCATGCTTGGGCTCAGCATGATCCACCAATTTGGGAGGCACGCGTCCCTCATCGTTTACATCATCATCGCCAATGCTTTTTTGTTAGTGCCCCCCTTGATGAACCCCATTGTGCACAGTGTGAAGACCAAACAGATCCGCACGGGGATCCTCAAGAGGTTCCAGAGGGGCAGAGAAGAGTGAGACGCTCATGGAGGTCATCACTAACGAACGGCCATTTTTTGCTTGTAGTTCTTTTCCCCTCCCGGAGATGTGCCTGGAATTCAATAAGAAATGGGGTTCCATAGTTCACAGTGCAGCCAGGGAAGACAGGAGGAGCTTCCATAAAAGGTCAGACTTGCAGGAGGGGAAAGATTTTTAAAAAACCTTTCATTTCAGATCATGGAGGAATTCTGGCTGTGGGGTTCTCTCCCCTCCCCCCCCCCCGCAAATTCACTTTTGTTGACTAAATCCATTTCAGCTCCGTCTGAGGTTGAGAGTGACGTAGCTTAAGTTCCATCTTAAACAGAATCCAGAAATACCTCTAAAGGAAAGAAAAAAAGAAAGTTCATTCAGTTGTGTTTTTTTTTCCATGGGAGATACTGTTGTCTCTCTTTGTAAGAGAGACGGGAGGCTTGACCGGCATATAAATTTAAATAAATAAGTAAATAAAAGCTTCTGTGCTTGATTCTGGACTCTTGTTGGGACTTTCGCGGAGATTGGAAGTCTGTCCTGGTTCTTACCTCATTATTCATGCCATTTCCCAGAATACTGTAATCCAGTGGTTCTCCACCTGCGGCCCGAGACCCCTGGGGGGCTGTGGTATTGTCACAGGGGGGTCTGCAAAGGCTTTAAGAAATGTTATGATTTAAATCTTGAGCGTCCATGGCCCTGTCCGTGGCCACAAAAGGTATTCAAAGGGGGTCCGTGTTGAAGAAAAGGTTGAGAACCCCTGTTGTAAGCTGCCCAGAGTGACTAAAGTTGAAATAAGATGGGCGGCTAATACGTTTTACAAATAAATACATGATTTTATTTTATTGTGGGCTGCCACAAAGAAGAGGGGGTCAACTTATTCTCCAAAGCAGGACAAGAAACAACGGATGGAGACTTAATCAAGGAGAGCAGCAACCTGGAACTAAGGAGGGATTTCCTGACAGGGAGAACAATTAACCAGGGGAACTCCTTGCCTCCAGAACTTGTGGCTGCTCCATCACTGGAGGCTTTTAAGAAGAGACTGGACAGCTATTTGTCTGAAATGGTGTAGGGTTTCCTGCCTGAGCGGGGGGTTGGACTAGATGACCTCCAACGTCCCTTCCAGCTCTATTCTGACTGAATGACTGGCTGATTGACTGATTGATCGATTGAAATAAACAGATAAATCTGGAGTAACTCTCCCAGTCAGGTTCATCTAAATTTGGGGCATTCGGTTTCTTCCCTCTTTGCTTGTGCCAGGGAAGGTAAGGGGAATCACTCTGGGTGCTGCTTGTTATACGGCAGGTCTGTTGGGGTGTAGACTGCAGGGAAGGGGACCCCCGGCCCGTGTTGCAGTCTGCTTCTAAGGTGACTTTAAGGATGGGGACCATCACAGGCCAGGCTGGACAAATCTGGGGGAGCAGTCGCGCTTCCTAACTCATCAGGCAGCCAGAGAGTTGAGGCTGGCCGCAGTGGCCGCAGAATGGTGCCCGCTGCCCTACAGTACATCCCGTTACCCTTCCGGATTCTGCTTCCTTGTTCCTCCTTTTTCAGCCAACCTTCCCTTCTCCTGGCTTATCTCAGACTTTTGCTTCTCTGCCTCTCCTGGGAGAGTCTGCCCTGTCACTCAGAGCTCTCGGCTTGTCGCTAGGCAACTCTGGGCCCCCACCCTCCCTGGCCAGTTATCAGGACCTCCTCAGCTGCTTGGCGGCTCTTGAGAGGAGGAAGGAGCGAGAGAGCAGCTCCTTTGGCCACTGCATCTCCTCCACCACCTGTCTGGGCCACTGTGGTAGTGCTGGGCTCCACCCTGGAATAATAGAGTAACAGAATAACAGAGTTGGGGGGGACCTTGGAGGTCATCTAGTCCAACCAATAGTATTCCAATATCTCAGGGGCTGCCCCAAAGAAGAGGGAGTCAAGCTCTTCTCCAAAGCGCCTGAAGGCAGGACAAGAAGCAACGGGTGGAAACCAGTCAAGGAGAGAAGCAACCTGAAACTAAGGAGAAACTTCCTGACAGGGAGAACAATCAACCAGTGGAACCACCTGCCTCCAGAAGCGGTGAATGCTCCAACACTGGACGTTTTTAAGAAGAGACTGGGCAGCCATTTGTCTGAAATGGTATAGGGTTTCCTGCCTGAGCACGGGTTGGACTAGATGACTCCAAGATCCCTTCCAACTTTACTACTATTACTAACCCCTTGCTCAAGCAGCAGACCTTATACCATTCTGGACCGATGGCTGTCCAGTCCCTTCTTAAAAACCTTCAGTGATGGAGCACCCACAACTTCCGAAGGCAGGCAGTTCCACTGGTTAATTGCTCTCACTGTAATATACCATCAAACATCCACATCTTCCTATCCCAGGTCCTTGGGAAGGACTCGATAGGTAGACAAAATGCCAAATCCAGTCTGAACATCTGGCTGACTGTGCGATGATCCATAATAATAATAATAATAATAAAGTTGGAAGGGATCTTGGAGGTCATCTAGTCCTACCCCCTGCTCAGGCAAGGAGCCCTATGCCATTTCGGACAAATAGCTGTCCACTCTCTTCTTAAAAACATCCAGTGTTGGAGCATTCACTGCTTCTGGAGGCAGGTGGTTCCACTGGTTAATTGTTCTCACTGTCAGGAAGTTTCTCCTTAGTTCTAGGTTGCTTGTCTCCTTGATGAGCTTCCATCCATTGCTTCCTTGTCCTGCCTTCTGATGCTTTGGAGGATCAGTTGGTCCCTTCTTCTTTGTGGCAGCCCCTTTAGATATTGGGAGGCTGCTGTCCTGTCACCCTTAGCCCTTCCTTTTGGTTAAACTGTTTTTCTGGCTGTCCAGCCCCAGAGCCATTGACCACACCGCCCGTATCTTCTTGCTGGGATTGTCCCAATCTTCCCTTCCAACTTCGTCCCATCTTTCTCCCACCACCCCTCCGTGGATGACCTCCTTTGCAGACAATCAGCAGCTCACTTTTCTCACAGCAAAACGCAGAATACCGCAGTCCACTATCAGCGTTCTGTAAAAGGGGTTGGAGATGGCCAGGAAATCTGGAGTGGTACCAACCCATAGCCAGATCCCACCAAGAAACCAGGAGGCGTCTGCAGCAGACGGATCGTGTTTACCAAATGGCAGAAGCCCTTGTGAACTGAAGCTCCCTTCAGCAGATGGGTGGGACGGCTGGGCTGAGGGAGGACTTGAATTGGGATGCTCTGGGGTGAAAAAAAAAGAGGGGGGAGGCGGGCTTGTGCTTTTTAATAAAATGGATTAGTTTGAAAGGTAGTCCTGGACTCTTTCTGACTTCAGCCACCCTAGAGCAACTTGGCTCTCCTCCTATAAGGTCATCAATAAGTGTCCCAAAGATGCTTTTTCCTGGATTTATGGGAACTGGAATCCAAAACATCCTGAGGCAGGACACTATGCTGGGGAGATCTCGGACCTATGAAAACGAACGCTGGATGCGTGTGAAGCTTCATCAACAAACAGCAGAGGCCATCTGAATACCTTCTTGTGGTTTTTTTCCCAGTGAAGAAAACAATCCAGAATTAAAAGAAATATCCCCATGTTCAGCAACCACTCAGAATCCAGGCCCCCAATTTTCCTCCTGACAGGTTTTCCTGGCCTAAAGAAACACCATTTCTGGATTTCCCTCCCCATCTGCTCCATGTACTTGGTGGCCCTCACAGGGAACTGCACCATCCTCTTCGTCATCAGGACAGATCCAACTCTCCACTCCCCCATGTACTATTTCCTGTCCATGCTAGCCCTCTCGGACCTGGGCTTGTCCTTCACCGCTTTGCCCACCATGCTGAGTGTCCTGTGGTTCAACCACCATCAGATCCACTTTGATGCCTGCTTGATCCAGATGTTCTTCATCCACACTTTCTCCATTCTTGAGTCAGGTATTCTACTCTCTATGGCCTTTGATCACTTGGTGGCCATCTGGAATCCTCTGAGATACGTAAGAGACAGTCATCAAGATTGGGGTGGGATAGTCCTCCAGTCCAGTTGCCTTGTCCTGCCAGGCCCCATCCTTATGAGTCTTCAGGAATTTGGGAGGATGAATGTGCTTTCCTACTCTATGTCTTTGCATCCAGATCTCCTGAAGTTGGTTCATTCAGATAGGAGGAACAGCAGCGTCTACGGCTTGATCATTATGCTCTCCTCCACAGGGGTGGATTCACTCCTGCTGGTCCTCTCCTACGCCTTGATCCTCAGGACCATCCTGGGAGTGGCCTCCAAGGAGGAACGCTCCCAGGCGCTCAGCACCTGCATCTCCCACCTTTGTGCGGTCCTCAGCTTCTCCATCCCCATGCTTGGGCTCAGCATGATCCACCGATTTGGGAGGCACGCGTCCCTCATCGTTTACATCGTCATCGCCAATGCTTTTTTGTTAGTGCCCCCCTTGATGAACCCCATTGTGCACAGTGTGAAGACCAAACAGATCCTCAGGGGGATCTTCAAGACGTTTCAGAAGGAGGGAGTACCATGAGAACCTGGACTCAGTGGGACTCTAAGCCGCAAGCATTGGGATGTACGATTTCACATCCGCCGTGGACTTTCTCCGCCCATGTCTGCCATTCAGAGCAACGTTGCAATTTCTGAATTTGTTTAAGTGGTATCGGCTGCATCAGAAACTCCTTTGTTGTGTCAGAAAGAGAACAATGTGCTTTCCTTTTGAAGAAGAGCGCTGATCTGCCGTTAAAGAGCCAAGATTGGAAATCAAAATCGGGTTTTCCATGCAATCCTGGCTTGATGTTTCAGAACAGTGGAGAAAGGCTGGTCCCTGCTCCTTCTTCCGGGATAAAATACATTTCAGAGGGTCTATACTGGCCCTCCGAGTAGCCCCCTCGAAATGAAACAGATTCCCAGGTCCTTCGGTGCTGAGGAGGAACGCTAAAACTCAAATAAAAATGGCTTCTATGTTTGGCGTTGCTGTCTTATGGTTCATAAGCGTGGCTGGTGTACTCTAGAGCAGTGTTTCCCAAACTTGACAATTTTAAGGCATGAGGACTTCAACTCCCAGAATTCCACAGCCAGCAACGCTGGCTGTGGAATTCTGGGAGTTGAAGTCCACATGCCTTAAAATTGTCAAGTTTGGGAAACACTGCTCTAGAAAAGAGCTTTATTCTCTGAATTGTTCAGAAGGCCTGCCCAGCGTTTGTGCTGATTTCTGGATGGAAATGAGGCACATAAATACAAAGGGTTGTCAAAGTTGCCCTTTGGCAAGATGGGCAGCCAATGAATTTGGTAAATAAATAAATAAATAAATAAATAAATAAATAAATAAATAAATAAATAAATAAATGCACTCGTCTTCCTGCTTGGGGTTTGGGGTGTGTAAAAGTGAGCCCTGCGTGTCTCTGGATCGGAGGCAGACGGTCTCAGCCCACAAAAAGGACGCGCCGCTTCCAGGGCCTGCTCCCTCCCTGATCTGATCTAAACTAATACATCCAGATCTAAGGCCCAGTTTAGTCTAGTGCAGGGGTAGGCAACATTGGCTCTTTTATGACTTGTGGACTTCAACTCCCAGAATTCCTGAGCCAGCATGGGGAAAACTTTAGCTCCTTCATGACTGGTGAACTTCAACTCCCAGAATTCCTGAGCCAGCATGAGAGAAACTTTGGCCTCTTCATGACTCCTGGACTTCAACTCCCAGAATTCCTCAGCCAGCATGGAGGAACTATGGCCCCTTCGTGACTCGTGGACTTCAACTCCCAGAATTCCTCAGCCAGCATGGGGAAAACTTTAGCTCCTTCATGACTGGTGAACTTCAACTCCCAGAATTCCTGAGCCAGCATGAGAGAAACTTTGGCCCCTTCATGACTCCTGGACTTCAACTCCCAGAATTCCTCAGCCAGCATGGGGGAACTATGGCCCCTTCATGACTTGTGGACTTCAACTCCCAGAATTCCTGAGCCAGCCTGGCTCAGATTGGAAACCTCTCCCTTTCCCCTCAGCATGGCTGGCTCAGGAATTCTGGGAGTTGAAGTCCACGAGTCATCAAAGAGCCAAGGTGGCCTACCCCTGGTCTAGTGGTTAAGGCACCAGGCTAGAAAGCAGAAGACGATGAGTTCAAGTCCTCCCTTAGCCATGAAAGTAGCTGGGTGACTTTGGGCCAGTCATTCTCCCACCAGCCCAGCCCACCTCACAGGAAAATATGAGGAGGAAGGTGTGTTGAATATGTTTGTCACCGTGAATTATTTGTAAAAATAATAAAGGCAGGATACAAAATAATTAATCATAATGAGTCGGCTTATTGCTCTTCTGCGGCAAAGTTAGCTTGTCACCGTCAAACTGCAGCTGTGTGCTTCGGTTAAAATCCAGTTATAAAACTCCTACCCAATATTTATAAGATAAGTTTTAAAATCACTTTTAAAATTATCAAATGGAGCTCACATTCATGCAGTCGCCTGCATTGCTATCTCTCCGGGAGTCTTTGCTGTTTTACTCACTTTTGGTCCTAAGGCAGTGTTTCCCAAACTTGACAATTTTAAGGCATGAGGACTTCAACTCCCAGAATTCCACAGCCAGCGTTGCTGGCTGTGGAATTCTGGGAGTTGAAGTCCACATGCCTTAAAATTGTCAAGTTTGGGAAACACTGTCCTAAGGGAAAAATCTCCCTCATCAACCTGATCGGAAGGTCTGGTGCAGGCTTGTTCGGTCAAAAGGGCTCACCACTTTCCTTGGTTTGATTTCTCCCACAGCAGGACCATAAATTAAGGTCAGAGTACGCACCCAGGCAGGGCCAGGGATCTGGGCTGGGGAAGGGGCTTTCTATGGAATGGGTGGGTGGGCTGGGAACATATCAGATTTGTCTTCTGTTGGTACCTACTCAGAGAGTCAATTACAAGGGTTCATGCAGAGGGCCAAATCAGGAGTCCCTGTTATTAAAATTAGGTATCTTTTATGGGGCTAAAGAAGAACAGTTTCTATTTATTACTGTTCTTTATTCACAATACTTATAAACCACTCCAATTGTAGTGACTTTTGGTGGGGCACAACGGAGCAAAACCCGTCAATCGCACAAAATGCAGCATGATAACACAGCAATGAATAATAAGAGGGAAAGCCATAATCCACGGTGAAGGGCTGAAGCAGCTGCGTCATCGGGATTTTGCAAAATCCAGGGAGATTACAGGCCAAATTACAGTTTGTAAGATTAAAGTTTATGGAAGGCATTAAATGAAGCTGACATTTATAATAGAATAACAGAGTCAGAAGGGGCCTTGGAGGTCTTCTAGTCCAACCCCCTGCTCAAGCAGGAAACTTTATACCGTTCCTAATGAACGGCTGTCCAGTCTCTTCTTGAAAACCTCCAGTACTGGAGCACCCACAACTTCTGGTGGCAAGCAGTTCCACTGATTGATCGTTCTCTCGGATAGGAAATTTCTTCTTAGTTCTAGGTGGAATCTCTCTTCGACAAGCTTCCATCTCTTACTTCTTGCTCTGCCCTCAGGTGATTTGGACAAAAGGCTGACACCCCTCTTTTCCTTGTGACAGCTCCTCAAATACTGGAAGACTGCTATCAAGTCACCCCTCGTCCTCCTCTTTGTTAGACTAGACATACCCAATTCCTGCAACCGTTCTTTGTATGTTTTAGCATCCAGTCCCCTAATCATCTTTGTTGCTGTTCTCTGCACTCTTTCTAGAGTCTCAACATCTTTTTGTGTTGCGGTGACCAAAACTCGATGCCATATTCCTAGTATGGTCTTACCAGTGCAGTATAAAATGACATTAACACTTTACATCATCTTGATTCCTTCTCTCTGTTGACGAAGCCTAATATTGTGTTGGCTTTTTTGGCAGCTGCAGCACACGGCTGGCTCATACTTAAGCGGTTGTCCACTAGGACATCTAGATCTCTCTCACAGTTACTGCTGCTGAGCCAAGTACCATCTATTCTATATCTCTGCATTGGGTTTTTCTTGATAAGTGTAATTCCTTAACTTTCACACCAATATATTGTATTTTGGTGGGCCCAGTGTCCAAGTGTCAGGATCCTTCTGGATCTTGAGCCTATCTTCTGGAGTGTTGGCTATTCCCCCCATTAGATGCCGGGTGAATTCCCTTCTATCCCCTCATCTCAACTGTTTATGAAGATATTAAAGAGCACTAGGCCTAAGACAGAGCCTTGGGGTACCCCACTGTGTGCTTCCCTCCATGTAGAGTGGTAGGACTCCCCGTTGGGCGCGGTTGGTCAACCAGCTACAAATCCATCTGGTGGTGATGCTGTCTAACCCACATTTTTCTGTCTTACTAAGAAGTAGGTTGTTGTCAAATGCCTCACTGGAATCCAAGTATACTATGTCCACAGCATTTTGCTAGCCTGCTCATTTTGTCAAAGAATACAATGTTTATCTGACGTGATTTATTTTTGACAAACCCATGTTGGCTTCCAGTAATAGCTTTGCTTGTTTCCAGGTGTTTGCAGATCCGTTGCTTGATTATCTTTTCCAGAATTCTCTCAAGCATTGAGGTTAGGCTGATAGGTCTGTAGTTTCCTAGATCTGTTTTCTCCCCCTTTTTTAAAGACGGGGACCACATCAGCTCTTTCCGAGTCCTCAGGTGGTTCTCAGGGTCTCCAGGATCTTTGAAAGAGACAGATCAGTGGGTCCAAGACTTCTTCTGCCAGATCCTTCAGAACTCTGGGATGTGATCCGTCAAGGCCCGGTGATCTGAACTTGTCTAGAATGGAACGATGTTCTCTTACCAGTTTCTTGCCTATTTTGACTTGTATTCCTAATCTTTTACAATGCAGCTTTTGATAAATTGGATTATTTTTTTTCTTTTGTGTAATGACAAATGCAAAGAAAGATTAAACAAATGTTTCTGAGTCATGATTTGGTTTTGGGCTGTTAAAATGAACAAACAGGCATCCCACCCACCACACAGCAACAAAAATCACAACCCCTTACTAGAAACCGGATCACGTCTCAACGACAGCCAGCCAATCAAACAATCCAAAACCAGACCGGGACCCAGAGGCAACCAAACAAGCTAAGACCATTGCATCACACAGACGATACTTACACACCAAGGACTGTGGCCCAGCAACAACAACCAGCCAATCAAACAGCCCGAAACCAGACCATGACTCAGAACAATCCGGACAAATAGCACCCACACCAATTTACACCACACAAAAAGGTATTTAAAGGCCAGCGCTCTGACAGATGAGCACTGAAGATGTCCCCATCCCCCGGAAATGTTTGCAGCTCAATCGCCAAACTCAGAGATCAAACCAACAGCCCAAAGCAGCTCACTGTTTATTATCTCTTAACTCAGAGCAAGACAAGTTTTAAGGAAGAGGGCAATAAAGACACTTTGGATCAGACGGAGTGGGGGGGGGGCTCCAACCGTTTTCTCACGTCCAAAACGCCATTTGAGAAATGGAAGCGAGAGCCGGTGGGGTCGGCCTTTCCATGCCCACCTTGTCTGTAAGGCAGTGGGGACTCTACCCACTGAGCAGCTCTGCCTCATTGGCGGCAGGCCTTGCTGAGCCTTTTCCAGATCAGCTGAGTCTTTACGGCATAGATGACAGGGTTGAGCATTGGGGGCAGCAGCTGGTAGAGGTTGGCCAGGAGGATGAGGACAGACTGGGGGATGCCGTGGCCGAAGCGGTGGGCGAAGAACGAGAAGAAGGCCGGGGTGTAGAACATGAGGATGACGCAGAGGTGGGAGCCACAGGTGCCCAGCGCCTTGAGGCGGGTGTCCTGGGAAGGGAACCTGAAGACGGCCCTGAGGATCAGGAGGTAAGAAGTGGCGATGAGGAGCACGTCCAGGCCTGGCGAGAGAAGGGTGGTCACAAAGCCGTACCAAATGTTGACAGCGATATTGGCGCAGGCCATGCGGGCGATGCCCATGTGCTCACAGTAGGAGTGGGGCATCACCCTCTTCCCGCAGTAAGGCAGCCTCTTGAGGAGGAAGATGGTGGGGAACATCACGCAGAAGCTCCTGGCCAGAGCCACCAAGCCGGTCTTGGCCACCACGGAGGGGGACAGAATGGAGGTGTATTGCAGCGGCCAGCAGATGGCGACATAGCGGTCGAAAGCCATGGCCAGCAGGATGGTGGACTCTGCAATGAAGCTGATGTGGGTGAAGAACATCTGGGCGAGGCAGCCGTCAAAAGAGATCTCCTTGGAGTAGGACCAGAGGACGCTCAGGGTCTTGGGCACGGTGGAGGACGACAAGATCACGTCTGCCACAGCCAGCATGGCCAGGAAGAGGTACATGGGCTGGTGGAGGCTGCGCTCCATCCGGATGAGGCAGAGCAGGGAGAGGTTTCCCAGAAGGGCGAAGAGGTACATCAGGCAGAAGGCCACGGCCATCCAGCTGTGGTATTCCTCCAGGCCAGGGATGCCAACCAGGATGAAGGAAGCAGGAGGGAGGCTGCTCTGGTTGCTGGGCTGTTGGGGGTCCAGAAGCATGTTGACTCATCGCACCCAAGTCAGGGCTCCAATCCTCTGCTGAAGGGAGAAAAAAGATGGAGAAGTCACGGCTGGAAAACGTGGTTACACCCGTGGCCGAAGGGACGGGGCTGGAGAGGGAAGCAGGCACTCCGTAAGTAAAAATCGCGTTGCTAATATTTCTAAGATAGGATGCTGTAATGAGTGAAGAGGCAATATTTTAAGAAAGTATTTCAAAGAAGCTAGTGAAGAAACATTAATGAAACATTCTTAATGAAGAAGCAGGACAAGAAGCAACAGATGGAAACTCATCAAGAAACAACCTGGAATTAAAGAGAAAGTTCCTGACAGTGAGGCCAATTAACCAGTGGAACAGAAGTTGCCTCTTGAGGTTGAGGGTGCTCCATCACTGGAGGTTTTTAAGAAGAGACTGGACAGTCACTTGTCTCAAATTGTATAGGGTCTCCTGTTTGAGGAGGGGGCTGTACTAAAAGGACCCTTCCAGCTCTATTCTATTCTAAGAATGCTAAGAAATTGGACCAGACAGAAATCCAATATAGCTTATTGAATTATTTTCTTTCCCCTGGAAACTCTTGCTTGTAAATACTGACCAAAGAAGAGAAATTGGCTGCTAGCTGACCTCTGAAAACCCTGCCTAGAACTGCCACAGAGAAGAGCAGTCAACCTGTCCTTCAAAGCGCCTGAAGAAGGCAGGACAAGGAGCAACGGATGGAGACTCAACCAAGGAGAGAATCAACCTGGAACTAAGGAGAAGTTTCCTGACAGTGAGAAAAATTAACCAGTGGAACAGAAGTTGCCTCCAGAAGTTGTGGGTGCTTCAACACTGGAGGTTTTCAAGAAGAGACTGGACAATCATTTCTCTGGAGTGATATAGGTCTCTTGCTTGAGCGGGGGTTGGACTAGAAGACCTCCAAAGGTCCCTTCCTACTCTGTTATATTACTCTGAGAGTCCAGGAGGAAAACACAGCCAGCCTCTTGGCCTAGTGCTTAACAGCCCTTCCAATTTTTTTTTTTGAAAAGCAACACTTTTTGCCATTATCAGTACAGTACAGTCTATTTTGACTACATCATGCTGTTAAGTATAGTATAGTAGCTACAATAATTTATTTTGCATAATGGTACCTTATTATTTAATACATAAGTAAGATTATTTCTATGACTGGACTTGGTGGGGCCATAAAAACACAGGCATTTTCCCGCATCAGAGATGCCTACAGATTATTTCACTAAGATTCTCTTATATAAATTCCAGGTTGCAAATGATACCTTGAAGAAACGTGATGTCCCAAATTCCAGCCATTGCCCCAATCCTTGAAAAACATTATTTTATTGGTACATCCAATAAGCAAACATTTCCATGTTATCATCTCCTTTGTGCATTTGGCAGCCACAAAGAAAACCTGTCTTTGGTTTAGAGCAGAGGTCTCCAAACTTGGCAACAGCTACAGTATCCTGGATGGTGACTTCTGGGAGCTGAAGTCCACAAGTCTTAAAGTTGCCAAGGTTGGACACCCCTGGTTTACAGAATTGATCCTTAGGCCGGTGCCCAAAGTCTTCCCCAAATCACAAAGCAGGCAATAGGCTGGCTGGACTGACCTCCAAGGTCCCTTCCAGATTCGATTCTATTCTATTCTATTCTATTCTATTCTATTCTATTCTATTCTATTCTATTCTATTCTATTCTATTCTATATTCTCTTCTATTCTATATTCTCCTCTCCTCTCCTCTTCTATATTCTCTTCTATATTCTCTTCTCTTCCCTTCTCTTCTATTCTATAATTCTATTTTCTATTCTCTCCTCTTCTCTCCTCTTCTCTTCTGTATTCTCTTCTCTATTCTTTTATTCTATTATTTTCTCTTCTCTTCTATATTCTCCTCTCCTCTTCTACATTCTCTTCTCTTCTATATTCTCTTCTATTCTATAATTCTCTTCTCTTCTCTTCTCTTCTCTTCTCTTCTCTTCTCTTCTCTTCTCTTCTCTTCTCTTCTCTTCTCTTCTAAAGTGACTTACCAGCAGACAGAGATGAAGGCAGCTGTCGAATGGAGTTGAGGAGCTTCTTCAGGTGCGGAGAAAGGCATACAAGGAAGAAGATGATTTATCCAGCTTTCATGGGGACTTCAAGGACACACCTGTCTCATCTTCCTTCAGACCGAAATTGGCAAGAGAAGCCCAGCTCCCTCTGCCCCAGGTGATGGAGAAATTGGCTGTTTTCAACAACATGTCCGCTTGTGGGTTCCCCCCCCCCAAGGACAGAAGACTCCCCAGTGCCAGTTAGAGGCTGCTTGCACGGTCCCACAGGAAGGGTTTCAAGAGGGCATCCGCTTCCTATGGGGGGATAGCCCTCCCCACTGGCTGCCCCTCCCTCCTCAAGAGCTTCTTCAGGACTAACCCTGATGGGGAGACGACTTGGTCCGTTTCACCTGGGTGACCGCAGGGAGAAAGTGCTCTGTGGCCACCAGACTTCTTCTAGATCAGTTGTGGATGGGACAGGCAATCGTGGAAGGGGGCAATCTTGGGCTGGGCCAAAAGACAAAAAGGAAACTCAGGGGAAGCCCCCCCCCCCGGAATTCTGCTCACTCAGGTGGCCTCAGGCCTGGGCAATGCTAGCTGGCTGCTTTGGCCCAGCCTAAGAAGTGGGCTCCTTCAAGAGTCTGAATGACCATTTTCTTTCTTTCTTTCTTTCTTTCTTTCTTTCTTTCTTTCTTTCTTTCTTTCTTTCTTTCTTTCTTTCTTTCTTTCTTTCTTTCTTTCTTTCTTTTCTTTCCTTCCTTCCTTCCTTCCTTCCTTCCTTCCTTCCTTCCTTCCTTCCTTCCTTCCTTCCTTCCTTCCTTCCTTCTTTCTTATTAAATTGTATATAGCTGCCCATTTCACTAAAAGCAATTCTGGGCAATGCACAGAAATTAAAAATAAATAAATAAAAAGAATATATTTATATTTATATATCCATATTCCTGTCTATCTTAGTTCAAGTTCTAGTACAGTTTTTAATAATATTTTAATCAGCATAATTTTAATACTGTAATTATTTTGTTTTACAAATTGCAATCTGCCCTGAGTCACCTTCTAAGGATGACGGGCGGCATAAAAATTTAATAAATAAAATAAACATTAATCAATATCTTCTTCTTCTTCTGCCATATCCGTTATCGGACATTGGCAATTATGTTGGCGATCCTGTTTTTATCAGCAGCTGCACGAAAAAGTGCTGCTGAGTTTTGTCCAAACCGGTCCCTTAGATTTTGAAGCCACGATGTTCTTCTTCTGCCTGGACCTCGTTTGTCTTCCATCTTTCCCTGGAGGATTAAATGGAGTAGGCCGTATTTTTCTGGGTGTCGCATCCCGTGTCCGAAATATTCTAATTTTCATTTTTTAATTGTTTTAATGATTTCCCTGGGCTTTCCCAGGCGGCTTATCACCTCATTTCTGATCTTGTCAGCCCAGCTTCTACGTAACAGCCGCCTGTCAATCCACATTTCAAAGGCTTCCAGTCTCTTCAGGTGCCCTTCTGTCAGGGATCAACTCTGCTCCATAGAGCAGGATAGAAAAAACATAGCATCTGACAAGCCTGATTTTCAGTCTTAGGCTTATGTCGTGAATTAATCAATATAAAAGAAAGCAAAGTTGCAGACCCCAGGCTAAGAGAGGGGAAGACTGGCCCCTTCCACAGTGGAGCCACCTAAGCAAGTCTCTGGTTCCCGATCCCAGACTTTCCCCAGTGCCCTGGTGGCAAGGAGGGTCCACAGGCCCACCTTCCTTTGGTGGGAATGGTTGAGCCACGCGAGGAGGAGGAGGAGAACTGGCCTATTGCTCATCAGGCACCTCCGGGTTTGGCTTCCCCTCCTCGTGTTTGATGAAGAAGCAAAGGGAGGGAGGCAGCCCAATTTCAGACCCCCCCCCCAGGTCCAAAACTGGAAGCAGCAGCGACCTCTAGGAACCAAAAGACCGACGTACATGTGAAACGCATGCAGGAACTCTTGTTGTGCAAAGGTTGTGAGTACGCATCTGCACTCCAGTGTCCGATGCAACTACATAAGTCTCAGTATTTCTGGGCTCACGTCATCCACGGGCATTGTAACATTCATTTTTTAAAATTTTCATTGATTTATTTAGAGCCCACTTTTACTATTGTTTTATTGTAAACGACTCAAGGCAGCAGACATATTTATTACTACTTCCTCCTATTTTTCCAGAACAACCCTGTGAGGTGGGTTGGGAGGAGAGAGAGACTTGACCAAAGTCACCCAGTTGGCTTTCAAGCCCAAGGCGGAACTAGAACTCCCCGTCTCCTGGTGACAGGCCCAAAGTGCATCAGCAGCAAAAATGTCAGTCTTGGGAGAACATGCCTGGACGCTCTTTTGCACGACTTCTTGCAAGTACTTGTAAGGAATCTATGGCATCCCCCCCCCCCCCCCGGTCTGCTCAGCTCTCTGTCTCTGCAGAATTTCTAGCTGACTTGCCATCTGGACAGAGCTGGGCCAAAGCCCTTCTGGGATCTCTACATCAGGGGTTCCCAACCAGGGGTGCGAGGTCATATTCCAGGGGGTGTGAAAACTTGGGTTTTCAGAATTGTAGTGTATATGCATAATTTGTTGCAGTTATTTCAAACTTTTGTGAGGGGTGCGAGAATGTATCAGGAGCGTTCTAGGGGTGTGGGGTATAGAAAAGGTTGGGAACCGTTGATTAGTCTGGGGTGGACAACTGGGCACCGGGCAGGAGGGAAGGACGTGAGCAAAGCAGAGCAAGATGGCACTCTCCGTTGCCATGGCGAGGAAGCTCCAGGCCTGCCAATATGGCCTCGCATGGAGGACTCAGGTGAGGCTGGCGGCCGGCAGCTTTGTCCCATCGGGGGTCCCTGCAGTCACCTCTTCCCCAGACGGCGACCGGGACCCCCTCCTGCCTCTGTGCCTCTCTCGGCAACGTCTGGAGCCGACCAATCCTCCATTTTGGGGAGCAAAGAGGAGCAACCGGCAGTAGGGCGGGCAGGCTTAGGCGGGGACTGACCCTCGTGGCAGTGAAGAGCCCACCCTGGTCCACATGGCCCGTAGGAGCCAAGCCTGGCCCGATGGCTGGCCACCGGTCAAGCGTCCCCTTAAATCACAGCCCCAACCCCCCACCTTCCCAACTGACAGGCTGGGTTTGCAGGAGATCAAGATACAGGTGGTCCTCGATGTACGACCACAATTGGGCTCAAAATTTATGTTGCAAAGTGAGACATTTGTTAAGTGAGTTTTGCCCCGTTTTACGACTTTTCTTGCCACGTTTGTTAAGTGAATCACTGCAGTTGTTAAACGAGTAACAGGGTTGTTAAGTGAATCTGCCTTCCCCCGTTGACTTGGCTGGTCAGGTGACAAAAGAGGGTCGCACGACCGTCACAAATGTGAGTCAGTTTCACGACCCAAACTGGGGAAATCTCCAGTGCTGGTGCGAAAAATGTCATTAAGCCATAACGGTTTAGTCCCGCAACAGCCGCATTACTTATTCAACAACTGCAGCCAGGAAGGTCGTAAAATGGGGCAAAACTCACTTAGCAACTGTCTCATTTAGCAATGGAAACCTGGGGCTCCACTCTGGTCGTAAACCAAGGACTCCCTGTAAAAACCTGGCTGATGTGTCGGTCTGTTGGCAGCTCCCCAAAAGCAAGCATTGTGCCATTTGGGGAAACATAAAAGAGGCCTCAGCACCCTCCCCCCCCCCAACTGCAGCTTTCCAGGGCACTGGAGGGGGGGACCTGGGGAGGGCAGGCCCAGAAGGAGCACCCCCCTCCCTTCTGGGCAGGGATGGCATCAGCCGAGGTGGGGGGGGCAGGGGGAGACGCCGCTCGCTCAGTGACCCCAAGAAGCCATTCGGACCTTGAAGGAGACAACAAACTTTATTAAGAAATGCAAAACCGTTAAGGAAATGGTGTCGTTGCACTTAGTGGAACAGGGTAAATATAAAAGGTTTGGAAAGGAAGGACTCCCTGGATGAAGAAAGCAGCTGGCATTCGTCCAGGGGGGCTTCTGTTCCCCCACCCCCCACCCCGAGGGCTGCTCTCCCCGGCACACAGAGGCAGCCGAGAGAAGCAGGAGGCCCCCTGGGGGAGGCTGAGGCTGCCAAAGGAGGGAGACTGGCATCCGGTGGCACAGCAGGAGCAGCGCTTTGGGCACAAAAGGGCCAGGCCAGTCAGCCTCCTGGCCAGGGAAGGCACCTAGCAGCCGGCCAGGACAACCCTGGATAACGGAGAGCAGCTCCCAGCCAGCCACGCCGCCCTCCTGCAAGGGGGCAGATCTGGCACAGTGAGAAGGAACCGGGGGAGAGGCAGGACTAGCAAGGAAACGGGGGCTCTCCCTGCCCAAGACACACTGTACGCCCTGTGAAATGGGGGGCGCCCCCCCAGAGAGAGCAACATAGGGATTCTGCAGGACACCAAAGTAGACGGGGACCCCGGAAGGTGGGGCTCCTGCCCCCTGCAGCCTCTGGAGAACGTCCCTGCGCCAGGTCTCCCCTTTCCCGGACCAGGACTGGAGCGGCTGAACTGGCTGGTCGAAGATGCCGTCACTTATGGCTGCCCACTCGGCTGCAGAGGTGGGATAGTTGACTCTGGAAGGAGAGGAACCGAGGCCGGGCGTCATAAGGCCCCCACCCCAGAGGAAACCTCCCGGGTGGCCTCCCCCAGACCCCGCAAGGTGAAAGGTGCCCCCCCCCCTCTGCCTTCCGACTCCTCCTGGGAGGAGCCAGGATGGAGAGCTGTGCCGGGGGGAGAACAGGGACGCAGCCTCGGCCCACTCAGGGAGGAGACGTCCCAGCAAAGGCCTCCTCTCCCCCCCCCCCAGCAGAGCTGCCCCCCACCTGCCAACCCACAGAGTCCAGAGACGGAACCGCCTTTTCTAGCTCTCCGGGCTCAGCCTCTGCCTCGCCCCCGATTCCTTCCTAGCTTCTCCGGCCGCCCCGAAGTGGAGTCAGCCACAGCCCTGCGAGTCCCTGTGGCTGCCCCCTTTTATTTCTGCTGTTATTCCATGACTCCATGGATGTTTTGGCCTCTGCACGAGGGCTGGCTGTCCGGAGTCAGGGGGTGCTTGGGAACGAAGAGGCCAGTCCTCCCTCCAGGGGGACCCCCGGCATTCGGGAAGGCTGATCGGCCCGGACCAGGTTCCAAGGAGCCCAGGAAGGGGGAGGCCGCTGGGTCCCCAGGAACGACGGAGGGAAACAGCCAGACCTACCGACAGCTTCTTCACGCTGCCCAGGGCCTGGGCGTTCAGCCCCCGCAGGTCCTTCTCCGAGAGCTCGCTGGCCCTGATCCGGATGCTCTGTGCAGAGGACAAAGGGAGTAGGGGACGGCTTTTCTGGGGGCGAAACAAGCCCACCAACCCCCCCAATTCATGCAGGAACCGCAAGGACTCCCGGCCCGTCCCAAGTCGAAGCTGGCACGTCTGTGTTGAGAAACAGAAGCCCCCAAAGTCTCCCCTTTGCTAGAGGGCAAAGCGCCTCCCCACTGGGCAAAGAGGGCTTCCACGCTGTCCCCCCCCCAGCGCCCGAAGGCCCTTACCTCTCCTCCACCCAGGGGCACCACGAGGAAGACCTCACTCTTGTCTGCCAGGGGGCTGCCGTTCACCGAGATGCTGAAGACCCGCTCGTGGGCGCTCGGGGCCCGCAGGCCGGGCGTCTTGAAAACGCTGCGGGCAGAAGCCGGCAGATCAGGCGGCTGGCCAGCCCCGCTCCGGAGGCTGCCCGAGGGGCCTGCCTGGCGGAGGGGGGCCTCACCTGGAGTCAAACTTGCCAGCAGGTGTGAGCAGAAGAGTGGCAGCTTTTGTGGGGGTCCCTCGGCCGGCTGGGGTGACGGGGTTCACTTTGCTGGGCCTGCTAAAATACAGCAGCAGCCACCGGGTCAGTGGCTCATTTGGGACTTCAAGCCGGCTGCCAGAGCTCTAGACTGGAATTCTTGGCCTGAAGGCACCTTGAGGGCATCAAGACCACCCCCTTGCTCAGCACACCATTCCAGTTATGGCCCCTCAAGGGACAAGCCGGGGAAGATAAGCCCCCCCCCACCTCCCTAGATTGCTTGACTCATGAACAGGGGACTTTGGTGATTTAAATCACAAATTTCATCCTCCCCTCTGGAAGAAAGGAGACCACGGCAGCCATCTTAGTGCTGGGAGGCATCTTGGGGGGGGGTGTCTTCTCTCCCGACTCTGCTCTGCCCACCCCTGAGAAATGCCTGCCCAGACTCTCCTGGAGAACCCCCAGGCATGAAGGAGTCACAGCTGGCTGTTCCCTTGCATAAGGGCACCCCAAGTCAGGAAACCCCTCTCTGATTCCAGCCTGGATCGCTGGGTGTCCAAGCGTGGCAACTTGACGGGGCTGGCTGGGGCATTCTGGGAGTTGAAGTCCACAAGTCTGCAGGTGGCCAGGCCTTAAAGCTTCTCCCTGCTGGCTCTTGTCCGACTGCCCCCTTCCTCCCTCGCCCCCTCTTGCTGTCAAGTCCCCCTTAGCCTCCCCTCCATTAAGCCAGGAATTCCTTTTTATGGGATTTCACCCCCAAGCCCCTCCCCCCTCCCTCGTTCTGCCCTGCACTCTCTCCAGCTCCTCAGCCCTTTTGTATTGTGGGGACGGGGGGGGGGAAGGAACACCCCATGGGGGGGGGGAGTCTGACCAGGGCAGCGTAAAGCAGCAGTAACCCTTCCCCTATTCCTCCACTCAGGCAGCCCAGGATCGCACCGGCTGCAGCACACTGCGCCCCTGGGGTCTTCCAGGACCCCCCCCCCCGATCTCTCTCTTCTACCTGACACCTCTTGAGGCAGTTCAAGAGCGCTGTGGTGTCCCTCCTCGGGGCTCACTCTGAAGGACAACCCACCCGGTGGGTCCTTCACCTCCATTCACAGGGCTTGGCTCAACCCGGTTCAGTCTCCGACAGAGGAGAATGCTGATAGCTCAGGGTCGTACTGTGGGTTCCTTGGGGGTCTCTGAGCTGGGTTGCTGAGTACTTGCTGCCCGTTACCTTTTACGGAAGTGCTTGGATCGGGATGAAGGGGGCCGGGCCCTCTTGGAAGTCGGAGGCCTTTTGCTTGAGGTCTGCACCTGTAACGCAGAAGGGGCTGTGACTCTGCCCGCCTTCAGCCACAGGCCCTTTGCGGGGTGAGCAGGGCATTCACCCAGCCCCAGCCTCTTTTGAGGTTGTAGGTCACCGGTCCACCCGCCCACCCACCCACCCATCCCATTCATTCAGAATAGAGCGGGAAGGGACCTCGGAGATCTTCTAGTCCAGCCCCCTGCTCAGGCAGGAGACTCTATACCAGGGGTCTGCAACCTTGGCTCTTTTGTGACTCCTGGACTTCAACTCCCAGAATTCCTAAGCCAGCACAGCTCTCTTTCCCCTCAGCACAGCTGGCTCAGGAATTCTGGGAGTTGAAGTCCAGGAGTCACAAGAGCCAAGGTGGCCTAACCCTGCTACCATTTCGGACAAATGGTGGTCCAAGCTCATCTCGAAAACCCACAACTTCTGGAGGCAGGTGGTTCCACTGGTTAATTGTTCTGTCAGGAAGTTTCTCCTTAGTTCCAGGTTGCTTCTCTCCTTGATTAGTTTCCACCCGTTGCTTCTTGTCTGCCTTCAGGCGCTTTGGAGAATAGCTTGACTCCCTCTCCTTTGTGGCAGCCCCTCAAATGCTGGAAGACTGCTATCATGTCCCCCCTCGTCCTTTTCTCTAGACTAGCCATACCCAAATCCTGCAACTGTTCTTCATTTTTCATCCTTTTACTGCTTTATTGCTCATTAATATCCTATTGCTGGGACCTCGCAGAGAAAGATCCGTTCTCAGACAGAACTTTCCGGGCTTCAGGTGCAGGCCCCCCCCCACCCGGAGGGCTGCAGGCTTTGTTAAGGCAGAAAAAGCACTCAACAGGCAGGGCTCCCGAGGGAAGCCGCGAGAGGGAGGGCCAAGGCAGAGGCCTTCGGAAGGACAGAGAGAAATGAATACCTTTCCTGGCTTCTGGTGTGCCACGTCCGGATCAGCCTGGTCCTCCTGCTTGGACTTCTTGACCGCAGGCAGCAGAGACGTCTCCATCTCTTCGTCAATGGTCTCAATGGCCTGCTTGGCTGGGGGGGGGGGAACACAGAAACTCTTGGAGGAAGGGGGGTGAGACAGGCAGGCTGGTGGGGGCAGCTGTGAAATGGCCGCTTCTCAGCCAGCTCCGTCACGGCTTCTAGGTCAGGGGTAGGCCACCTTGGCCCTTTTATGACTGGTGGACTTCAACTCCCAGAATTCCTGAGCCAGCCATGCTGAGGGGAAAGGGGGAGGTTTCCAAGCTGAGCCAGGCTGGCTCAGGAATTCTGGGAGTTGAAGTCCACGAGTCATGAAGGGGCCATAGTTTCCCCCATGCTGGCTCAGGAATTCTGGGAGTTGAAGTCCACGAATCACGAAGGGGCCAAGGTTGCCTACCCCTGAGCTAGGGCAACACGAGCAACTTTTCTTTTTACTAAGACAAAGCAAGCAGTCCTCGGCTTACAACTGTTCATTGGGTGACCATTTGAAGTTCAACGGCACTGGAAAAAAGTGACTAGTGACCGTTTTTCACTCTTAGAACCGTCGCAGCATCCCCAGGTCACGTGATCAAAATCTGGATGCTTGGCAACGAGCTCATATTTATGATGGTCGCAGTGTCCCAGCGGGGCCACGTGATCCCCTTTTGCGACCGCCTGGCCAGCAAAGTCAATGGGGACTATGTTGCTAAGAATTGCAGAGATCCCCTTAACGACCGTGGCAAGAAAAGTCGTAAAGTGGGGCAACTGTCTGGGCTCAGCTGTGGTTCCAACTCCTTCTTGAAGGAAATAAAAGTTATCCTTTTTATAAATGTAAAAATGTAATGCCATTATATGAAACTGTCTCTTTAGCAGTGCAAATGTAGCAATGCATTGCCAAATGTGTGGGAAGGTTTGTTTACTGTTTCCTGCCCATGTAAAGTGACCACAAATGGTAATCAGCAAAGATAATTAATTATGACCTAAGGTTTACTGTTTATTGAGGGAAGAATTCAGGAGGCCGCAATTGCAAACACTTTTCTTATTATTTTTATGTTTTTCTTCAATAAAAACTTTGTATTGTTAACCAGACTTGTCTTCGTATTGTCTCAAAATTTGGGGGTTTTACATCTCACATTCTCAAGCATCGTAAGAATGGAAGGAGGAGAAATAAAGTGAAGTTTGCTAATTACAAATGCTGATGTTTGAACATCGCTAAGTGAGTTTTGCCCCATTTTACAACCTTTCTTGCCAGTTGTTAAGTGAATTGCTGCAGTTGTCAAGCTGATAACATAGTCGTTAAGCAAATCGGCTTCCCCGTTGACTCTACCTGCCAGGTCACTCCCCCCCGGGACGCTGCGACCGTCCTGAGTACTCAGTTGCCAAGCGTGTGAATGTCAATCCCATGACCACGGGGAAGCTGCAGCGGTCATAAGTGAGGGGAAACAAGAGCACTTTTTTCAGTGCTCTTGTAACATGGAATGGTCACTACCTGATCCGTTGCAAGTCCAGGACTGCTGTGTTGCTTGGAAACAGGCAGAAGAGGCCGCATCCTGCAGGGGACAGACCCTGGATGGGATGGTGGGTGATGCAAGGCTGCACCATTTTTCTCCCCCTTCCTTCCCTGAAGTGTGTAAACCTGAGGGCCCGGTGTGTCTGCGGGGGGGGGGGGGCTCACCTTGTTTCCTCTTGGGCAATACCCCCCCCCTGCCCAGGGGTCGACTCAATAAACGCTGCTGCAGGGAGCCTGGATTAGCGACTTTGGAATCCCGCGCTTCATTTTCACAGTGGGGGACCGTGAGAGTATTAGGCGGGCCCTTCTCCCTCCCTCTCCCCCCCCCCCGCTGACCTTTCTTGGCGACCCGGAAGGGCGTCTGGACGGCCCGGGAGGCCAGCTGGGTGATCTCCGCGATCTCCACCTCGCTCTGCAGGGAGGCAAGGAAGCCGGGCAGCTCGCAGGAGAGGGGGAGGCGGCCCGATTGACCCGCCCAGCCCTCCCCCTCCCCTCCCCTCCCCCGGGCTACTCACTGACCGAGGCCACCCTCTCCAGGGCCTTGTCGCTGCCTCCGAAGGCTGCAAGTGGGAGAGGGAGAGAAGGGGGGGGTTAGCGGGGGGGCGGGCGGGGGTCGCGCAAGGCCGGGCGGGGGGGCTCTTGCGGGGGGGGTCGAGACCTACCGAGGAAGGTGATCCAGTTCATCTCGCGCAGCGGCAGCGGCAGCCGCAGGACCTCCATGTTGCTCTGGTTCTCCACGTCCTTCTGCAGGCTCTTGCCCGCCGCCCGCACCAGCGCCAGCCGGGACCGCACTGCAAGACAGGCGCGCCGGTCACGGCCCCGGCCCTCCGCCGACCTCCACCCCCGCCCCGGCCAGGCCCCGGCCCTTCGCCCGACCCCGGCCCCGGCCCGCCTCACCCTCGCGGTCGAAGTCCTTCAGGAAGGCGTCCACCCGCTTATCCCGCGCCGAGGCCTTCGGGCCGCCCCGGGCCGCCGTCGGCCTTTTCCTGCCGGGCGCCATCGCGGAAGCGGAGACGGCGGAGACGAAGGCCGTTCAAACTTGGCGCGCGCCCCGCTCGGCCAATCAGGAGGCGGCCCGCCGCGCGCACGGCTCCTCCGCCTCCTCCTGCCGCGAGGCCACGCCCCTCACGCCGCCCAGCCGCGCTTTCTACGGGGGTACCCCCTGCCCGGGGCGCCCGTGGGCGGGGCATCGAGACTTGGGGGGGCGGGCGGAAAACGGCAGGGAGGGGCCCCTCGGGGTGGGCGGGGCTTTGGGGCTGGAAGGGGCTCGGGGGGCTCCGCTTCGGGCGCGCTCACGTTCAGACACCTCCGGCGAGAAAAGGGGACCACGCGGAGATCGCCCTCGGGCCTCCGGGCTCCTCCTCCGGCCAAGCGGGGGTCTCGCGTGCCCCGGTGGGGATTGGCACCGCCTCCCCACTTTCCTCCCCCCCCCACCGGCTTGCAGGGGTCAGCAGAGCTCCGGCTCGCCTGCCTCGCCTGTCGGCTCCCTCGGACAATCCCCAGAGCTGCAGAAGGGACCTCGGAGGTCGTCTAGTCCCACCCCATCTGCAGGAGGCCACTTAATTCAGCTGCTCCAGCCGAGTTCTGTGGGGCTTGTTGGTGGGAGGCCGAGGAGGGTGGGCTGGCCCTCTTTCCTCTGCCTTCTCCCCCCACCTAGCATTCCCGGACAGAACCGGATGGAGATGCCAAAGCAAGAAACCCTCCCCCCCCCCCGGACTCTGTCCTTGGTCTCTCGGCCTGTCCCTCTGGGGGCCAGGCTCCCTCGGGGAAGGGCTCCCAGGGCTTGGACATCTCCCCCCCCCGCCTCCCTCCCTCCCTCCCCAGGGCCTTGTCTCCTCTGGGGCTTGTCAGGCGCTTGCAGACCTGGGCCTGGTGCTGAAGTGGGCGATGCCAGGGACCGGCTGCCCTTATCAGCCTGACAGCCTCTTGCCTGCTCAACCCCCCCCCCCACACACACACACAGCCAGCAGCCCTGCCTCGCCTCCTAAGGCCTCTTGCCTTTCCAGTAACCATAAGCCCACACTTCCATCTCAGAACACAGGCAGTCCTCAAGTTACGGCCACAACTGAGCCCTAAATGTATGTTGCTAAATGGAGCCTTTGTTAAGTGAGTTTTGCTCCATTGTACGACTTTTCTTGGCACAGTCGTTAAGTTAGCAACCTGGTCCACACTGACTTTGCTGGCCGTAAGGTCGCAAAAGGGGATCACCAGTGGCCACGCGTCTGACCATGGGGGTGCTGCAACGGTCATGTATGAAATGTGCCTCCTCCTGACAAGCCAGGTTCACTTAACAACCGTGTGGCTAACTTTGTCATGTTTTGCATAGCAAGAGAAATTTTGGGTTCAGCTGTGGTCATAAGTCTAGGAATAGGAATAGAACAGAAATAGAACAAAATGTAGAATAGAATAGAATGGAATGGAATAGAATTGGAATTGGAATTGGAATGGAGAAAGAATAGAGAAATAATAAGAGTAGAATAGAGAAAGAATAGAATAGAATTACAGGATAGAGTAGAATAGAATAGAGAAAGAATAGAGAATAGAACAGAATAGAATAGAATTACAGAATAGAACAGAGTAGAATTACAGAATAGAATAGAAATACAGAATAGAATAAGAATGGAATAGAATTGGAATTGGAATGGAATGGAGAAAGAATAGAGATATAATAGAATAGAACAGAATAGAGAAAGAATAGAATTACAGAATATAGAATAAAATAGAGAATAGAACAGAATAGAATAGAATTACAGAATAAAATAGAATTGGAATGGAATGGAGAAAGAATAGAATGGAATAGAGAAAGAAAAGAATAGAATTACAGAATAGAATAGAAATAGAATAGAATAGAAAAAGGAATAGAATAGAAATAAGGAATAGAATAGAAATGGAATAGAATAGGAATAGGAGCTAGAGTAAGTAAAAGGGAAAGAAGAGTAAAAGGGAAGAAGACCGAACAGAAGTAAAACAGGAGAACCATAAAGGGAACAGTGACCAAAGAAAGACGGTGGGAGAGTAATTCCATCGATCCAATGAGCAAAGGGAGCTGGGAGGCTTCGCCCTTTTCCCCCCCTGGCTCCAAGGAGGTCTCCTTCAGTTGAAGTCCAGGAAAGGGGGGGGGGGCTCAGGGCCAGGAAAGGCTTCCTCTTTAGTATGATGGCAACGTTTCTATATACGGCAGTGTTGTAAAAGAAACATAATACATTATATTGTTTTGACACATTGGTCATCCGTATATAGGTTGAGGAAATATGGTTAGTCCTGCAAACAGTTTGAACCATTCAGGATACCAAATATATATATATATATATATATATAAATGGCATGAATAAAGCGCGTTCACCAGGAGAGTTTAAAGTTAAAATACTTTAATTAAAGTATTTTACTATATTAAAAGGTTGCCAAGCTTTCGTTGGGAAAACTCTCCAACATCTTCAGGGCTGAGAGACCTGGTCTCTCAGCCCTGAATTAGTTAATAAAAGTAGGATTATTTAGTTTTTTTTCCAGTCAAAACTGAATGCAATGCAGGAAGTCCTCACCTTCCAACAGTTTTGTTTAGTGGCCATTGGAAGTTACAAAGGCTCTGAAAAAAGTGATTTATGACCATTTTTCACACTTAACGACTGTTGCAGGGTCCCCCACGGTCACGTGATCAAAATTCAGACGCCTGGCAACTGGCTCCTATTTATGACGGTCGCGCTGTGGCTGCGTGATCCCCTTTTGTGACCTGAGAAGCAAAATCAATGGGGAATTCAGATTCCCTTAACAACCATGTTACTAATTTAACAAACTCGATGCTTCATTTAACAACTGGGGCAAGAAAAATCATAAAATGGGGCAAAATTCACTTGACAAATGTCTCACTTAACAACATAAATTTTGGGCTCAATTATGGTCATAACTTGAGGACTGCCTGTTCTAAATAACTGCTGCGAGTTTCATTAAAGTATTTGTTCTACAGCACAATAAAGCTGACAGTAATGAGCTCATTACTTAATATTAAAGTCTCCGTTGCATTCTTAGTATTTCTTACGCAAATTGAAAAAGAAAAGTTAAAGCAAATTTGACTGCAATTAAAGTACCAATAGATTAAAAAAAGGCTTTGCAGTTTCTGACTACCTTCCTTTTTGTGCTTCTACTAATTCAGTTTTTACAAACATTTCCACCCCTTAAAGTCAGCTGGTCTTGCTTAAATTTGGTTAAACTTCTGTTGTGAGTATATACTGTGCTGTCAATCCTGCACGTCCTCCAAATTAACTTCCCAGTCAGATATTTTCAGAATTGTGTTTTTCTTTCAACATTGGGCAACACTGATCACAAACAAAACAAATTTAAGTTAAAGATAAAAATAGAAAAGTGGGGGGGGAGAGAAAAAGAAGAAAGGAAGAAGAAAGTGGTTTCTGATCAATAAAAATAAATCTTCCATGACATTTCCAACATTTATTACTTTATAATTTATCTCTCTTATTATTGATGGAATTGCATACTCTCCATAGAATATTTTGTACTGCTTTTAAGTTATGTTTGGTGTAAATTTTACAGATTATAGTCCATAATTCTTAACAGAATCATAGAGTTGGAAGGGACCTTAGAGGTCATCTAGTCTAACCCCCTGCTCAAGCAGGAGACCCTATGCCATTCCAGACAACTGGCTGTTCAGTCTCTTCTTTCAAAGCCTCCGATGATGAAGCACCCACTAGTTAATTGTTCTCACTGTCAGGAAGTTTCTCCTTAGTTCCAGCTTGCTTCTCTCCTTGATGAGTTTCCATCCGTTGTTTCTTGTCCTGCCTTCTGGTGCTTTGGAAAATAAGTTGACCCCCTCTTCTTTGCAGCAGCCCCTCAAATATTGGAAGACTGATATCATGTCCCCCCTAGAATAGAATAGAGCTGGAAGGGACCTTGGAGGTCTTCTAGTCCAGCCCCCTGCTCAAGCAGGAGAACTATTCCGTCCCAGACAGGTGAATGTCCAATCTCTTCTTGAAAACCTGCCTCTGCTCTTTGCTGCTCTGGCAGCCACTCCACCCCAGCTGGGAGATTATCAGCCCCACCATCAGCCCCTGCTGAGCAGCTCTTGGCAAAGCAAGGAGGGTTGCTGTGGCAGCCGAGGGAAGCAGGGAGGCCCCCAGCCTTCCCTGGAGAGGGAAAAACAATTCCTCCACTTTCAAGCTCTCCCCCAGCCCCCCCCCCAGACTCTAGTTCAGACCCTTTTCCCTACCATCACCCCCCCACACCGGCTATAGGGGGGCATCCATATGAGCCGAGGTGGCGCAGCAGTTAGAGTATATATATATATATACATTGCTTACTGGTGTACACCGCTTAGAGAGTGCTTGCACTTAAAGCGGTATATAAGTCTCATAAATAAATAAATAAATCCATGTGGTCCACCTATTACTCAGACAGATAAATCAGGACAACAGAATTGACAGAGCTGGAAGGGGCCTTGGAGGTCATCTAGTCCGACCCTCTGCTCAAGCAGGAGGAGACCCAACACTATTCCAAACAAACAACTGTCCGGTCTCTTCTTTCAAAGCCTCCCGCGATGAAGCACCCACAACTTCTGGAAGCAACTTCAGTTCCATTGATTGTCCTTACTGTCAGGAAGTTTCTCCTTAGTTCCAGGTTGCTTCTCTCCTGGATGAGTTTCCACCCGTTGCTTTTTGTCCTGCCTTCAGGCGCTTTGGAGAAGAGCTTGACTCCCTCTTCTTTGGGGCAGCCCCTGAGATACTGGAAGGCTGCTATCATGTCCCCCGTCGTCCTTCTCTTCATTAGACTAGTTCCCTCAACCATTCATCTTAAAATTTAGCCTCCAGACCTTTTATCCTTGTGCTTTGCTGGTGGTTTTTAATAAGAGACTGGACAGTCACTTGTCTGAAATGGCCTGGGGCAGGGGTCCCCAACCTTAGCAACTTTAAGACCTGTGGACCTCAACTTGATCTTTGGGTGTCCAAGCGTGGCAACTTGAAGACCTGCAGTTGACATGGATGGCTGGGGAATTCTGGGAGTTGAAGTCCACAAGTCTTAAAGTTGCCAAGGTTGGGGACCCCCGGTCTAGGGTCTCCTGCTTGAGCAAGGGGTTGGACTAGAAGACCTCCAAGGTCCCAGCTCTATTCTGATTGATTAATAGACTCTGGAGATCAAGAGCCTCTTCTCACTGGTAGTAGGCTACCACACTCCCTCTGATGTGCAGCTCCACCTTGGATAGCTCCCCTTCCTTCAATTTCCGTTATTGATGCAGTCTTTTGTTCAGTAGAGGTGTCTCTGCTTCACCCACCGTAGCCCCCCTTTTGGGGAGGAAGCTGTGTTGAGAGGGAGGAGCTGGCCCAGAGTCCCCCTAAGGGGCATCCTGAACAGGACTTGCCCATCCGTAGTGGCCCCCTGGCATGGACCCCAACCTTCACCCCACCCCAGTTCAATGCCCCTCTTGGGATGGGGAAGCACAGGAGGGAGGAGTAGGGCCCCCCCTCTGCTGTGGGAAGGGGCCCAGCAACGGACCATTCTCGTCACAGGAATTGCACCCTACAAAGGTGGCAGCTTTGGAGAGGGGGTGGCTTTCCCACGAACCTTGCGGAGCCGACCAACAGCCAGGCTGCAGGTGAATTTCCCTGAAGCCCCCGGGCTCCCAGGCCTGCTGCGGACCCCAGACGCCCCCGCGGGGACCGGCCGGCCCTGCTCATCCAGGACCAC